TGTATATATATATGTGTGTTATATATTATATTGTATATATATAGGTATATATCTTCATAATTTATATGTATGCGTGTCTAACTTGCTGATATGGGATGCTAAAATTATGGGAGGGGGGTGGTGGTTGTACAATACAATACAATAGAATACAAAAATTACACAATTTTTAATACGCGAATTGTTTTACAAATATTTAAGAGTAAAAGTAAATTTAAATCCTCACAGACTCACTTTAATTACAAACAAACAATTCATAATTATCCTCTATCGCTAGTCAGATTTCAGCAACGTTTAACGGAATCTAAACTGTTCGATATATATAGTATACATACATGTATATGTATCTATGTATGTATAAGTGGGGCTAGGACTCAGCGCTGTGTGTTTAGGTTTTTCTTCTTCTTCTTCTTGATTTATTCATTTTAGCTTAATATTAGCGGAGCTTCCGTTTATTGTTTATTGTTTGTTGTTTGGGTTGCCTGCTGCTGTTGATTTATTTGCATTATTTGTTGAGTGTCACTTTCATTCATTTGTACATCAACGAGAATTCCCCCTCACACCTGGCGGCGTGGCGTGGGATAACACTGGCCGCCTGTCATCTAGAACCAGTACAGATCCTTTGACGATTCCTGCACTTGAGCCTCCAGACCTTTTTGTTGTGGCCAACAAAGAGCAGCAGCAAAAGCCAAAAAATAAATAAAATACAAATAAAAGACATTTCATTAAAGCACAATCACAATGAACAGAGGTCAAGCCATCGCCATTGCCATGACAATGGCCAGCATGCCTCGAGTCCTTGTGGCCAGTGGAGTCGAGTGGGTACGCACCTGCCATTGTCGGATAGCTCGAGTAGGCTGCCGCACTCTCCAGGGCATGTGCCGTCTGCTGGTCGTGGTGAAGTCTGCGCCGATGCCAAGCAGAGCGATTTCCCATTGCGAGTGATATGCAAAAACCAGATCGAGAATTTAAGTTAGAGTTAGCTTCAGTCTAAAGCAGATGCAAATACTTGACATTGTCTTCAAGTACTTGCCATTGAGTTGTTATCTATTATATATACATACATTAGAATTCGGCTATAACGACTCAGCTTACAGAGTTTGTACGGTTATTGCGACGGAAATTCTGGTCCCCAAACAAACTGATATGAGCAAATTTATACGATTATAGCGTACCTTGAGCGTCGGTATAGCCGGATTCCACTGTATATTTATATTATTATATTATACATAGGATAAACAATTTATTTTCTAGCTAAATATAATTTATATTTACAAAATATTACTATTATTAATTAATAGGTTTATTTTTATAATTATAATTTATATATGCTATA